AAATTCTATTTTTTGATTCTGGATGTATATATCAAAAAATTGAGAGCTTACATCCTTTTTGTTTGGGGTTTTTATACCCATTTACGGGGGAAAGAAATGATAACTTTTGTCTTTGTCTAATGCAGAGTTGAGTGCTGGTGAAGATGGTGTCTTGCACGGGTTTTTTTTTTCTAGCATTGGGGCAGGAAAATGGTGGCCATTGGTTGGGGGGAATTGGATGACTATCCTAGGGATAGGGTTAGACCCGGGTCGGTCTAATTTGGGACTTTAGGTCGGGTATTTTAGGTTTTGGGTCTTGTTTCGTGTATGGGTCGGGTTTTGGGTTTAATTGGGTCTTGAATTTTATTTTCTGGTTAGGTTTTACTTTGGCATGGGGCTTGAGGCCCGTTGTAAATTAAAATAGAAAAAATGGTGATCGACAAATTGTGTACCCAGTTACGCGCCATAGTATCATGGTTCACCGTCCTTGCTCCTTGTCTTATGTTTTCCTTGTGGGTCTTAACCACCCCACTGTGTGGATTGGTTATTTTTATCCCTTTTGTCATTTTATCTCCCAAGACTTTTTTCTTTTATAGAGATTGCATTATGGTTACCTGGCATTTGGTTTGTGTCATGTATAGCAGTTTTCATAGTCTGTCCTTCCACCGTAGCTATCACGTTCACCTCGTCCAGGACCCTGGATCCTTGGTTTTTCATCCTTCCCTGGGTAGAGATCATAGTATTATCGTTAGCTTTGCGTGCCTGTTGCTCTCCGCTGCTTTTTGGTGAATCCTCTTTACTTTTACCTTTCGACTTTTGTCTCCCATTTATCTCCTTCGTGATACCCAACCTTCTTCCTTCCTGTAATCTTGTTTGTCTTCCATATCTAACTCTGCCAACACCGTTGATTTTCCTTTCACCTCACCTTTCGGTCTTCGTTTCTTTTTTTCCACGACCATCCATGGACCAGACAGCTCGTCTCCACGAGACTCCATCGATGGGCCTGCTTTTTCCTTTGTCACCAACCTCCCCTGAGTTTCCTGTTCCTTCTCTATCTTTCAGTTTACCGCAAACCTCCGTCGAATGTCCATAAGTTCCACAGGAGAAACAGATGTTGTTTAAACCTTCGTACTCTAGTTTTTGAATGAACCCATCTATCTCTCCTGATGTTATTTAAACCTTCGTACTCTAGTTTTTGAATGAACCCATCTATCCCAATGCATGATTTCAACGGCTTGTTTGAGATCGACAATAATTGCAAGACGGGCAAACTTTCCTCTACCACCTGCTTGTGTATTGTAGTCCACCTGCACCACTTTTCCCACTGCATCAGCAATTCTGCGGAACAAGGATTTGGAATAGTATCGGAAAGGAAGTCCCGATAATCTCAGCCAAACGAGGACTTGCGTTGGGTGTTTTTCATCTGTCGAAATCGATCTGCTCCAGGGTTACACCGTCAAGTAGCACCTATATATTGTCCAAGGGTCTTCAGTAAGAACTTTGATATAGTCGTTGCCGTTTGTGAATTTAACCAGGTAATAATTATTATCAAAGTCTACCAGCTGTAGTTCACCTAGTGGTTTCCATAGCGTTTGGATTCGAGCTATCAAGGTCTTGTATCGAATCGTTTTGTCTAGTAGTCGGATAATAAGTGCATGTTGCATGCATTGAGTAATCTTGTTATGGACTCGGTCAGAGAATCGTATAGTTGTGATTGGTCATGTGTCGTCAACTATGCAGTCTTCATGAAGAACCTCTACTTTGTCCTTTTCACTTAGGGTTATGAATGCCTTCTTCCCATTCGCACCTGCTGTAACCATGTGTGCATAGGAGGGTTTAGCCATATTCCATCCTTCCTCTTCGCATAAGGATTATGTTCGTTGCCTACTTCAAGAGCTTCCTCCTCGGCTTCCATGGCCATTACTTTTTCTCCATTCGATTGGACCATCTCCTCGCCCATAGGGGTGTTCATTCAATTAAAACGGTAGCCGACCGAATCAAATTACCATCAATTGAATTAACCGAATTTTTTGTTTCTTTAATCGAATTTTTTTTTCTTTAACCGTTAACCGAACCGAATTTTTTTAAAAAAAATATTAATCGAACCGAATAAATTTCGATTAATTCAGTTAATTTTCGAATTAACCAAATTTTTTTAAAATTTTCTAATTTATATAAAAAATGTATATTTTTAAATTCAAAAAACAATTTACAATTAATTTAAATAATATACAATTATAACATAAAACTTTTATATGGATTTTTTAATTAATTAATATTGATTTAGGTTTAAAAGTTATTGGATCTTAAATTATTAATTGGGTTTTAAATGGTTTGGGCTGAGCCCATATGTTATATATAATAAATTTTAATTTTAATTTCGGTTAATTAACCGAATTCTAAAAAAATTATTAACCGTTCCCCGACCGAACTAATTCGGTAGTCGACCAAATTAACCGAATTAATTCGGTTCGATCAGTTAATTATGTTAAAACTGAAAAATGAACACCCCTACTCATCCATGTTGCGTTGCTTCTTGGGATCCCGAGTATCTTCTAATGGAGACCCCGGGCTCTCCAAGATCGACAGGGTTGTGATCATGGCAAGTTTTTTTTTAATATTATGCAACTTTAATTTTATCAAAAAAATATTTTAAAAAAATTTAGCTCTTATTGAATAGGTCTGCAAATTTTGAAAGATGATTAACATAATTTGCTTTTGTATTAAGATGTATATTCGTCTAGACTTGTAGTGTAGTGATAAAATTATTATTTTTTAGATTTAATTGTATTATATGTCCCTAAACTATAACTCTCATTTTAAATTGGTCCTTAAACTTTTAAATATTCTAATTTTATCTCCAAACTATGACTCTCATTCTAAATTAGTCCTTAAACTTTTGAACATTTTAATTTCATCCCTAAAATATGAACCTTTTTCTAAATTGATCCCAAACTTTTGAATATTTCAATTTTATCCCCAAATTCATGCAAATATGTAATTAGTTTCAACCATAATTTAACCTAAATTTTGTTTTATTAAACATAGAATAATATAATTTGGCCTAACAGTTTTATTAAGAAGGGATGTGATTAGCATATACATATAGTTTGGGATCAAATTGGAAGGTTAAAAATTTTAGGGATCAATTTAGAATGAATGCCATAGTTTGGGAATGCAATTTAAATGTTCAAAAGTTTGAGGACTAATTTAGAATGATAATCATATTGCAGGGATGAAATTGAAATATTTAAAAGTTTAAGGGTCAATTTAAAATGATGATCATACTTTGAGAACAAATGATGCAATTAATAATAATAATAATAATAATAATAAACCATAACAGAGATTCAATTTTAGCTTTACATTAAATTTAGATATATTCTATTGTCGTGTAGTGCAGAACTTACGTCACTACACGACAATACCACCACATCTAGATTCTAAGTTATGATGCTAATAGCGATACAATTTTGTCTTCTTTTTCTTCTTCACTTACTATATATTCAGTGATGGAGCTAAAATTGAATACTGGAACATACAAAGTATCTAAGTTCAAAGAAATAGAAATTTATTATATATTTAATCTAAAAAAATTAAAGGAGGCAAAAGTCTAATTTTATTTTAGTTTAAACTGAAAAAATCTAAAATATTATTAAACCAAAAATTTTAGAAGGGGGCAAAAACCCCTCCCACTCTCAATATACATGTGTATCATTTCTTTCTTCTTCTTTTTTTTGAATGCTTGGTTAATAAAAATATAATATAGTTTAATGATTAAATGTTATATAAGAGCAATCTATAAGGTACTCTTTGATTCAGGTAAATGGCATTATGTTTTTGTTAGAATCGCAAATGGAATTAACCTGATAATCCGGGATGGATCCTTATGCATGGACCATAAGTGTTGATCAAGGAGAGATTGGCCTTGGCCCTCAAGCTTTGGTGAAACTTTTTAAAGTCCTTTAATTCTTTTGAAATATTTAATTGGTCCCTTTAAAATTTTAAGAAATTCTTATTACAACTTTTAAGTTTTTATGTATTTTAATTTGAATCTCATAAATTTTAAAAGATTTAGAAAAAAATGAAGGGGAAACTACAAGCATGGCAATTTAACTATGAGGAAATTTTATTTTGACCATCGATATTTCATTTTTGTCAATTAAATCACTTAACTATTTAAATGTTGTAAATCAAGCCACATGCCGTTAACATTTGACGGAGGAACTAACGTGACATTTAAAAAATTTATATTTATACATTTGGTCCTTATACTTACACATTTAATCAATTTGATCCTAATTTTAATTTATTTTTTATTTAATAAATTTAATTATCTAATCAGATAGTGACACGTAAATTTATTGAATTAAATAAATTAAATTTTAAAAAAAATTCTCTGATCAAATGGTGATAGTTTTCACCATCTGATTATATGATTAAATTTATTAAATTAAATTAAAATTAGAAAAAAAGTGATAGAATGTATAAGTACTAAGGAAAAAATTGTGTAATTATACTAATTTACTAATTGTCACGTTATCTCATCTGTCAAATGTTAATAATAGATGACTTAATTAGCATTATTTAAATAGTTAAATAATTTGATTGATAAAATTAAAAGATTAATAGTTAAAATAAAATCACTCATTCATTAAGTGATTGTGGGTGTATGTTAGCCTACAATAAAACACAAGTTGTTCTAATGTTATTAGCCATCGTTCCAAAACTAAAGTAAAATAAAAATTCATTTGACTTCCTTGATTTTTTATTTCCATATCTTTATGGGACTATAATTCCAATTTTTTTAAAAAAATTAATCTGATTTCTTATTTTTCTAAGTCTTTTTCTCGAGGGATAGTGAGATTCTTTTTGATTGTTGGGTAAATTTATTTTTTAACAATAGGTGATTAAAATAAAATAAAAAATAATTTTAAGTATAATTTTTAAAAAAATAATTAGGTGACCAAAATGGAACCACGGAAATAATTGGGTGACTAAATAATGAATTTACCGTAGAGTTTTTAGGGTTGGCGATATGATAGAGGAATCAGGTTCGAGCAACGAATCAATAGCTATGGAAGTGGGTCAGTTGAAGGGAAAATTTGTGGAAGAGAAATACCCGATTCGTTTCAAGAGGAAGTCTCTGCAAGCTGCGCTGGAGGAGTGCAAGAGAGCTCTCCATTCGCTTAGTAACTGTGAAGATGGAACTGATGATAACGATGAAGATGACGATGGTAAAGATGAAGTGAATCCTCAAGTGGATGTCAGAGGCGTCGGTCTTCGAAGAGATGAAGAAGCCGATGAGGTTTTGTTTAATTCTTTTTGTTCATTTGTCTGTTGTTAGTGTTCTTAGGATTTGATTGTGGATTCAGATTTCTGCTTGGATGCTAATAAAAATTATGGAAACAGAAGGGAATGAAATATAAGTGAGACTTGTTGATAATAATTTTTAGCTTATAGAAGCTATTGGTTTTTATTTGGGTGATTTTGTTACGGTCTTTCGGAAGATTTAGTTTGTTTGAACTTATATGTTTATGTCGAATTCTACGTTCAGAGGGTAAACTTGAAATTTCAATTGAGATTCGGCTAGGTTTAAGCAATTCATCTGAGGATTATGTGTGTCGTGACTTTCTTCTTTGAGTGACGAGTTACTCTTATCCTATTCATACCCAGCTTGCATGAGACAAAAAGCTTATAGCTAATGGAATTTTTCTCATTTGGATAATGGTATCGTTTGTGCTGGATTGCATTGGTTCTTGTCTAGGTATAGTAGTTTCCTGTTGCTGCATGCTTGGACGCTGGAGCCTTGGAGGGAGTTGTTTTTTGTGGACAATAGGTGCTGTTTGAGCTTTGATTTCGGATTGTCTTAGTTATTGATAGGAGCTTGCTGGTTTGCTATGATGATTGTTTCATTCTTGAGTGTGGGCTAGGCTGATAAGTGTGTTGTTATAAGATAGAGAGACCGTGTTCATGATTGAAAGCTGAGATAATCTGTGTTTGCATTCACTCAACCAAAAGAAAGAAAAAAGGAACTAGAACGGAGGGTTGAAGGGAGGAGTCAATCAATTGACAAAAGCAGCCATCACCTAGTATAATTCTTTAAAATAAAGGCTTTTATGGCTTTAAAGTTCATTTTCCTCGTATCCTGTCTCATTGATGCCATCTCATTTGTCATACTCCTTTTTGTGTTTCTTTATTTCTCTATGTACAAATATCTAGTTTGAAGGAAATAGAGAAATGAAAATGATACAGAGAAGAGACTACCACTTTTCCATCATAAGATTTGTTTTATGAGGTAGTAGAGTTTTTGGTTCAATGATAACATGTTAGGAACTAATCCGAAGTATTCAAATTTGATAAATAATGTTTTAAAACAGAGCCCAAAGTTGTGAATTAAGTAGTAACCGAAACCTTCTTCCTCTTCATATAGAAGTTGATTTACTGTTGGAGATGATTGTGAAAGATAAGAAATTGATTGTCACCCACTGATGGTTGAATAACACTTCAGAGAGTGATGTGTTTTTGTTTGTTTGTTGTTATCCATGGTATTCCACTTTGCAGAATTGCAGTTGCCTTTTTTTTAGATCTCATGGATCAAAATTAAGCTCTTATTCCACTTTTGTAGTTCTCTAGTTAACCTTCATATTTTTATTTGCAGTAAATTTTAAAATCCTACTTGTATACAGTGATCCCTAATCCCTTATGTTTGATTTAATATGCTCTGACCCTTTGGCTTTATCTTAAAAGAACATTGTGTAGATAGCTTTATGACTTAAAGTATGTATATAAAATTAGAAACTTGACAGAAACTAGATCCAGTTAATGTGAAATACCTGATAAAACTTGACAGAAACTAGATCCAGTTAATGTGAAATACCTGATAAAGTTGGCATTTGCTTTCCTATCAAATATTTCAAAATAACTTGGATATCTAATGCGTGTGCCTCTTTATTTAAAAAATGCAGTTGCGTGATCTTCTCAAGTCTGGAGTTCAATGCTCTGACTTTCTTGTAAATCTAGAATGTATCCAGGTCCCAGTTCCAGAAAACATTTCTGGTATGTGTCAAAGATGGTCCGCTTTAAACTATTAGCATATGTCGTTTTAACTGTTAAATGGTCATGGATTTATTCAGTATATAGAACTTCAGGCTTTAGACTGGTATCGTATATTGGCTTGAAAATGATCTTTGTAGCCTTGATGCTGTTGGAATTCTTCTTTGGAACCAGAAGTCAGTAGTTCTTGGGACATGGTCAATGCAAATGATCTTTGGCAAGATGAAAATGTTGATTTGGATCAAGAAGATTATGTTCTCGTCAGTCAGGAGGGAATTGTAGAAGGCATTTCATGTTTTATGGCTGCATACTTGCTGTCCCTTAAACAGACTAAGGTATGTGGAATTCTCGCTCTTTGTTTATGCTACTATCATTTCGGACTTTAATTTTTTTTCTCTCTGTAGTCATTCATACATAATAATATGCTTATGCAAGAATTTTGATTAATTTATATCAAAGTTCTTCTATGGTCTTACTCTTTGGTGAACTGAATGAAATCATGTTTTTGTATGTTGCTAGGACTCTTCATTTTGCTACGTACCCATATTTTTCACCCATATCCAACATATATTTGGACATAGGTATGAGGATGCCATCCTAAGTCCCTCCAAATACATGGGAAAACTTGAAGAAAAGAACTACATATACCTAAAGCGAACACTCACACCCAAGTCCGAATAACATAGGAATATTCATCTCTGGATGCTAATGATAATTTCTTTTTCTCCAGTATTTGAGCCCAAATCAACTTCAGCAAGGTGAGTTTTTTTTCCCTGCATGAGTGAGTTTTAGTATCAAATTATACTCTTCCCTCGATATTACCAAAAGTTTTAAGATACCATGTCCGTATTGAACTTATATATTCCATCGCAATTATCTTTTATTTTATGGTCTGTAATATCTCTGTCCATATTTGGAATAGGAATTCTGAACATTGATTTGAACTTTCTTGTAGCGCTGAGCGAGACCTTCTCCCTTAAAAAGAAAAGGGGAAAGCTTCAAAAAGCTTGGGATGGAAGTAAAGTTATTTATAATGTGGCATCTTGGGGGGCAACTGCAATTTTTTGATAGGAAGGGGGCAACTGCAATTGGGTAGGTTATAATTTTGATCTTGACAACTAAACTCGATTCCTACATATACTGTAGAACATATTTGGATATGGGTTATGGGGATCTTACCCGAGTTCAAGAAGCATAAATATGAATTCTTGAGCAAGCTGATGATGACACTACATTTATTGTTTGTTGTAAACAGGATATACCAAAACCCTTTACTTACGAGAGCCGCCTCAAAAGCCTTCTGGACTTCTTGTGAGGTAATATCAAAACTTCTCTGACTTGCAATATAATTTGAGAACCAAAGTGTGATATCGGAGGAGTTCACTGTTGTACATATATGCTTTCTCGCTGTCAAATGCAGCTTGGTGTTTCGTAGGTTGCGTGACCATGAATAACATTCTTTCTCTTCTCTTCTTTTCTCTTGTGCTCTACGGATTTGTAGATTTTATCTTTGTAAATTTATTTGTTAAAATATTTCTTGTGCAATTCAAATTCCTCTGGCATCGTGTGATCAGCATATGCAAATGCCTTGGGCAGTTGTTCTATATATCTAATTAGGGGTATTCAATCGGTTAGTTCGGCCACCGATCAAATCGAATTAACCGATTTTTTCCTTTAACTATTAACCGAACTGATTTTTTTTTAAATATTAACCGAACCGAATTTATATATATATATATGTTTGTATGTATGTATATATATATATATATATATATATATATATATATATATATATATATGTTTGTATGTATGTATATATATATATATATATATATTAGTTAGATTAATTTGAGTTTAATAGAGGTATTTTTTATTTGGGTTAAATTTTAGTTAGCTCTTGATAATTTAACAAGTGTGATTAGAAAATAACTGAGTATTAAATTTTAATAGATTTGAACTTAAAATATGTTTTTAACATATATAATATATTTAATGTTTTTAGTTAATTCTGTTAATTAATTGATTTTGAACCGATTTACCGTTAACTAAAATTCCTATATCTAATAGTATTTGCTTTCTACATAGTTTTTAGGGTAAACCATATGAATAGTCCTCTTTATTTTCGGTTTGACCGGTTTCGGTCATCAGTTTAAAAATTAAGTGCGTTTAGTCCCTTATGTAATCTATCCATTTGATTTTAGTGCTTCAGCTGTTAATTTTTATTTTCTCAATAACAAAAAAAACTTACGTGGCAATTTAAAAGAATGCGTCAATTTCTTTTTCTTCTTCTTCACTTAGAAAAACACGTGTCATCTTCTTCTTATGACTTAAGAAGTCACGGCCTCGAGTGATGGTGTGATGGCCTTCAAATTTTCGAAACTTTCGCCAACATTTCTGGCCAACATAGAATTGTGACTCTAAATCAAGGGATATCCTATTATTCAAAGAGATGCCACGACCACCTCCCAAAATGGAAGGACCCCTTGACCTCCTACCATTGTAGGTTGCTTCCACAAAACGGTCTGTAGGTCCCGGTGTACCAGGGCCAAGGGTTCCCACAAAAGTTAAACTCCCCTTGCCACTATCATTACTAGAACCCCGGGTTTTAATGTGGAGAACAAACTTAATGCCAAATGAAAACTGTTTGATGGGCTGCCACTATCATTACGAGAAAATCAGCGCTCGCAATAGATATTGGGCTGCCAATAGCCATAGGTGCTTTATCTGTATGGCTCTTGCCTCCATGAAGTCTATCTCTCAAATTTGATTAGGATCTTGAACACCCTGAACTACATAAACACTTATTTTTTGGTGTCTCACTGTTGTTGTTGCCAACGAGTTCCTTCACGTTAAACAAATCTGATTTACAATCAACTGATTTCTTGAGACTAACTAGCCATGCATATTACAAAATCATGACAAGATTTCACAAAGATCAAAAGAATTAGAAAAGGAAGTTAATCTTAGAGAAGTTAAAAGAGAGCAGATTTAGTGCCAAATAAATACACATGAAGTTGCCATTTCGTCTTATCCTCCCAATTTTATAAAGTGCCAAAAATTGGGAGTAATACCATTTCATAAAGTGCCATATAAATTTCATGGTTTGCTTTTTATGGCATACCAGTTTTAAATTAGTGAAATTAATCCTCAATCTTCTATTTTCTATGGTTTAATTATCCCTTCACATAATTTCATCTAATTAGGCCTCTGTTTTTTAGGGAACATAAAGAAAAATCTTGTTTGGACAAGGACAGGCATTTAGTTGATTGAAGTAACCTCGATTTTAGCCAAGTCTTGGGGGTAACTGGATTGGTCTTCCTTCACTAATAAGTAGCAATAATGATAATGCGACTTTAATACCAACTTATGCACTAACCCATCTCATGATTATTACGTGGGGCTAAGGATTATTGATCAAAGTCAACATCATAATTACTTTACTGTTATAGGTGTATAATTTTGAGCTTAAGTACTGTGTAAATAATTAAGACGGAGAAAAACAAAAGCAAATCCATGCTCAAAACTCCCCATGAAAAAAACTTAATCCTTATGATATGCACATGAGTCGGGTTTAAGGGTGTAATAAAAACAAAATCAAGTTAAAATTACAAGAATGACTCTTTTTTTACTAAAAGATAATTAATATTTATTAAAAAATTAATTAGGGGTTAAAAAGTCATGATTTCAAATTCAAGTAAATGAGTAGGTTTTGTGTTTGGAAAAAGGTAATGTCGAAGCAGGGAGTGATTTGTGGATTTTTTTTTAGAGAGATTAGCGGGTTTGTTAATTACTCTTATAATTACTAATATACAAATGTTAGTGCCCATTAATAAACTACAATCTTTATTAATTTATATGTTTGAAAAGAGTAATGTTGAAGCATGAAGGGAAGTAATACCTATGGATGTATCAATGGGGAAATAATGTAAAGCTAAAAATCATCATAAGATTGCAACAACTGCACGTGTTTGATTAAGGTAAGCCTCCAACTCCAATTTCATGGCCTAATTTAATCTGCCCTATTTAATCCCCAAATTTTTTAAATAATAACAGAATTAAATATATTTTTCTTTTTCTATAATCATTGATATTCGATCCAACGATTAAGTAATTAATTTGATAAATTTATTTTAAGAATATTAACTCAAATATCAAACTGTAATTAATGAGGAAGAAATACAAGTGGAACTACATCTGGACATTTATTTAATCATTATCACTTTATATTGGTGACTGTTTTATAAAAAGCAAAAAGAAGAAGGTTTATATATAAATAATTTCCATTGTAGTGCGGCATAGGAGGGGTAATGTATTAAGCTTTCTACGCGTGGAATGTTTTGTTGGAGAATCCACAACCAAATTGGATCCATGTCACACCAATCAAAACTCAATTACCTTATTATTATTATTATTATTATTATTTATAGTATCCACTGGCCGCTCCCAAAAAAGCTCTTTTGCTTTGCAGGGAAAAGGAAATAATAATAATAATAATGATGATAATAATAATAATAATTATTATTATTATTATCATTATTATAATTATAAGTGTATAATTAATTGTTCTGTTTAAATCTATTAATTTAAATATTTATTATTAGTAAGGTGAATTAGTTTAAACAAATTTATTCTTAATGAAATCACTTTTGGTACATATATGCATTGTTCTGTTTAAAATATGGAGTTAATGGCAATTTATATTTAATTGATCGAAATCCACTCCTTCTTACATTATTAATGAAACAATTATAAACATAAATTTATATTAGAAAATCCCATTGGGTCGTCAAGTAATAAAAAAGATGGGGGAGTAATCATTTATTTTGCAAACAAAATGTTGTGGGCTTTGATTAAACTAGTTTTAATGGCGAAAATCATTCCATTTTTCAGCGGCAAAATTTGTTAATATAATTTGAGAAAATCAACTTAAAACTTTAAAAACTTTATAGGTTTAAATTAAAATCTTTTAATATTTTGAAGGGTTTAGTTTTTTTTCCAAAGAATTAGTGTCCAACTAAAATTTTTGAAATTTGAATTAAATTTTTAAAAAAAAAATTTGAGGTTTGAATTAAATTTTTAAAATCAAATATATATGAAAGAAATGCATGATTTTAAATTATAAAATATAAATATACGCGTAAAATAAAATCAAATTATAAAAAGGATTTGTGGCCTATAGAGGAAAAGAGGGGAAAAAACTAGGATTCGACATGATGAAAGTTCTGTGTATAGTCGTCTATTCACCTTTACAGTAGTTGGTAATCAAACCCGTAACATCTAAGAACAATAACGATTCTTTTAACCACTGAGGTCACAAGTACCAACGACTACAAAGATGAATAGACGACTACAAAGATGAATAGACATTCAATGTCAAATGATTGAGATTACTTAGAGAATATATTACTTTATAATTCTCTTTATCTTAATAAAAATAAAATAATTATATTTTTTAAAAGTAAATAAAAACTAATTATAAATATCAATTTTCTTTAACGAAATTAACCTCCACGGGATGATTCATTATTGTTCACTAATACCTTGCGTGCACTCCTTACGCACGCACGTATCAAAGTTTTAATCACCATTTTTTATTTATTTATATTTTTTGATGTGTCAATTTAATTTTCTATATAATAATCGTAATCTAAGCTTCCGTGCGTTCCATATTTCTCGACCTTTTCACTCTCCGTTTTCCAGTGTTTCTCTTTCTCTAGCTTAAGGATTGACGCAGTTTGAAGTATCTTCTTTTGTTTTCTCGATTTGGGTTTTGGGGTTTTCTTCTGCTTTATCCAGTTCTGTAAGTCGTCTCATGCTTTTCATTTTCAATTTATCCGTTTTAATTGGTTTAAATTTCTTCTTTTTGTTTAATTTTATTGTGTCCTGTTTTTTACGTTTATTTTTTTTTTGCTAATTTTTATAGCTTTGATTTCATCTAGTTTCTTCTTATTTTTTGGATTCTGGAAGAAACCCTAATTAGATCCAATCCTAAAGGTTTAGAAAGCTCGTATCTTTTCTCATTATTTACAGTTGTATTAAGAGAATTAACTCTTCTACTTGTTCACTGTCGTCTTCTTCCTTTTTTTTTGTCTTGCATTAGTTTAATACTATGAATTTTCATTTATAAATTACGTTTATGATGTTAAAATAATGGATATACTGGCCATTGCAGGGTTCTTGAACAGGTTGTTTTGGGGTAAACAAGTTACTAAGAAACTGAACTGTGGCGATTGTAGTTGAATAAAGAACAGTATGCGGTGGTGGCTGAGTCTTTCCGTTGATGTGTTTAGAAAAGTTATCCCTTTGAACTTGTATTGTAGAGTGATTCTGTAATTCAGTAATCCATATTAGCAAGTACCCTTCATTTCTACTCACCTGTCATCTTATTAATCTTCCATGGGATCCATTTTTTTCGTTGTCGTTCCATGTTACTTTCTAAGGATCAGCTGAAAACCTTCAAACCCATTTCTCAAATTTCTAATCCAAGACTTAGTCTTTTGATTTTAATAGGGGTGGTTTTTGTAGTGGTATTTCGGTTTTATCGATCTGGATTACGGCTTTTAAACAAGTCTTCGACTGGAATATCTCTCGATTTTTGTAATATTGAAGGGTAGGGAACGTAGTTATGGTGTGCCAAGCAGCTAGCCAAACTAGATTTCGGGCATTGAAGTACGAGAATGGTATTGCAGGGAGCTCCACCATTGTAGTTAGAGTTATAGCATGCTTTCAACCTCTTCAGGATTGCCAGGTTAGTTTTTTCGTTCCTTATTTTCCATTTTCTTATACACTTATGCTGTTTACATTTTTTTTTAATGTATGGGGTTTCTCGTTCTTGTTCTTTTTGTTACTGATGATTAATAAGAATGTTTATGCAAAGCTATTTGTTGGATTCCTTCTGTTTTTGCCAGGCTGAATATTTCCGTCATTTGCTTAAGCCGGTTACGTAATTTGGTTTTATATTTCCGTGTTCAAGTTAAGCTGGATTTCTTAGTTTTTCCCCTTGTTTTTGAGAGAAACTTCAAGTAAATTGCTATTTCTACTGCCACAACATTCAACTACTGGTATGTATTGCTTGTACTTGGTTTTAATAATATCTACTTTTTATTCTCGGAATTTCATTTTCCATATTGATTTTGTTGTTTTCGTAGGTGATTGTTCTGGTTGGATGGGAGAAGGCTGCGGATCCTGGTTTCCTCTGCAGCAATTTGATTGGCAATCACCCAAATTGAATCCTTTGGGGCAGCAAAGTAATAATCCTCAATTCATAAACTTTGGCACTAATATGGTCTCTGCTACGGGGAATTCACCGTTTTATGGATGTCGTGATTTATCTCACTCGCGGGTTGGCCAAGTTAACGAGTCCCGTGGTTGGTGTTACTGTTTACCCCGCTCCGACAAGGTATTTGCACCTGTGTCAAACACTTTCTTGAAAGAGAGACTCCCAACTCTCACTTATGGGAATGGTACGGAAAACATCGCTCCCAAGGCAGGGGCTGGGTGTGCTCAGAAGAGATTCCTTGTTTTCTACCAATCTGGTGTTCAAACTACAGTGATGCTTAGTTCTGCTTTTGGGACTCCTATCAAGTGCGGTTCTTTGGGTCCCAAATTGCCTTTTGCTTGTAAATTGAGTAGGGAGGTTCCCTTGGCTAAAGTAAGCCAAAATCTTCACCCTGGACCAACATTTAAAGGTGTATTTGACGAAAATGGGACTGATGTGCTAAGTGAAATGCGTGAGGACACTGAAGAACTCAATGCGCTGCTTTACTCTGATGATGATAGTGATAATACTGAGGATGAAGAAGTTACAAGCACGGGTCATTCCCCTAGCACTCTGACAGCTTACTTCGAGCAATATGAGGGAGGTGCTGAAGGGGTTGCTAGCTCGACTGGTCTAACCAAAAAGCGAAAACTGCTCAATAACAGTAATAGTTACATGCAATTCCCTGTGGACAATACTTGTTCAGTGAATCATAATAGATATTCCGAGCCCGAGGATGATGCTAATTCCAGTTTTGCCAATGGCCAAAATTCAGGATCTGATGGAATGGATTCGTCTTCAGATAACAAGAGAATGAGAGCGGATAAAATTCGCGAGACTGTGAGCGTATTAAGAAGCTTAATTCCAGGTGTTGAGGACAAGGATGCTATTATGGTTCTTGATGATGCCATTTATCACTTAAAATCCCTGAAACGCAGAGCCGAAACCTTGGGACTTGGTACTATATGAGTTGCCACCGTTCATATTAGTAGTGTTAGCGTATAACATCAGTCATAATTAGTCGTTGGTAATGGAGCGAGCTAAATAAATGAAGTTGACGCAGTTGTGCTTGGAGATGCATGCATGCATTACAGATGATCTCGAGTCCCATTGCGTCTTTTCTCGAATGATTTGAGCTGGAAACCAGCACCTTTGGCTTGAAATCTCTGTGTGTATCTCGAGAAAGCATGATGGTGAAGGATTGTGAATCATTACTAGTCTTGGGGTTTAGAGAAAGGAACAACACAGCCACAGTCCGGCATCAGAAGATTGGTTAATTGGAAAGGGACCCTCATAAAGGGTGGGCTAAGTGCACGCCTCTTAGGTGTTTTGGGTCCCAATCTTCACTTTCTTTTTGTATTGTTGTCAAGCCTAATCCTTGTGGCGTTTCCTTTTTCTCTTTGATGTAGAAAGTTGCACGAGCAACTGAGCCAATCTTCCATTTCATCATCCAACAACTTGCTTGAATAGGGGTCCCAAGACATTGAGTTGTTTATTTGTCTTGAATGTTTGCGTGTTCAATATCTTTTCGAAATACATTCGTAACCCTTAAAGGTTCTTTATGTATTTGTTGTTGCTTTTGTGTGCCGGTGGCCTGGTGCTATGCTATCGTACGGGGTTTTCAAGGGTGGGTTTTAGCTTTGATAAAAGCTGTGATTTTTGGAACGATGACATCATTCATGGTTGGATGTAATTAAAGGTTTATATAAATGGTATGAGGTGTTATGTATTTGTCTTCAAACCTATGTATTTACGTCACATACATGAATTTATCATGTACGAGACAGTGACGTCTTTTATAGCTTAGCTTCTTGCATCATCATGTAAGATGATGGGACCATTAAAAGTACTTCCTGTGGCGAACTTCTACTTTTGTATTGAAATGGTACAAATTTTTTTAGGGTAAATCACACGTCTAATACTTAAATGGTTACTTTTGTCTCGTTTTTTTACTTTTCTCTCTTTTTGATATTTAAACATTTAATCCCTAACGATTTTTTTTTCGTTTTGGTATCATTTTCTTATGGATAAATTACATCATTCAACTATTTTTTCATTTTTATTTTGGTCATTGAAGTTTAATTTTTTAATTTAATTACTTAACTTTTAAATTACTCTTAATTTAATCACTCTAACTTTTAAATTATTTTTTTGATTTTAATTATGTATTAATAAAATAATAATAATAAATGACATGTTACAAAAATTATTAATAAAATAAACTATAGTGATTAAAACAAGAACAATTTGAAAGTTGAGTAATTAAATTAAATTTTTTAAATTTTAGTGATAAAATTAGGATTGAGAAGATAGTTGAGTGATGAATCATGTAATCTACCCATAAAAATTGTCACGTACAACAGTTATGTTAAGTTTTTAATGATAGAGTACCGAAATGAAATCTAAACTAAACATTAAGTATGAATTTGAAAAATAAATAAATATCAAAATAGAAGAAAAATTATAATTTATGTGCTCATCGTGTAGTTTACCCAACTTTTATTTTAATATAAATTGAAATAATTGTAGTACTAAATTTTAATTTTGTACGTAATTATATCCCTAAATCATTAAGTGATGAATGAAATATAGAGATGAATGGAAATTTATGTCAATGTAATGACATGATTAAATTAACGTTATTTTGGAGTATATATATTGATGCTCAAAATGTTGTTTTTAGGATAATATAAACTTTTTAATTTATGTATTAATTTTGTCAGTATACTTTAAAATACTTCAACTTTAGACACTCATCTTTTTTTAAAAAAAATACTTCAACTTTAGACACTTATCTTTTTTTTTATCTTCATAGATGATCAATCGTTGCTCATCACTAGTCGTCACTCGTCGCAAGATCAGTATTAAAACTTTCACATTTTATTCATATTTTCTCTTTAGATTATTTTTTCACGAAAGTCACTCAAAACTGACGAAAACCTATATAAAGGTTCATCGATTGGATTCTCAAACACCCACCCAAATCTTATCAAATACGAGAGAGTCCTTGAACCCAAAATAGTGATTTTTTTTAATTGAGTTTTTAAAATGTTTCAGAAAAATTTATACTAAAACATGATAAAAGATAATGAAACGAGTTCATTAATGTCTTGGATAATCATAAAAGATATTGGAATGACAATTTTTTATGATGAATACAAATATAAATGAAAAACTTAATTTTTATGAAAAAGTTAGAGATGAAATAGAAAAATAGAATTTTAACATTCACGTCAGCACAATGTTAATATTAAATTGTTATTTTATTCTACTGTTAGTGGATTAACAATCTAATGGTATAATTATACGAAACTAAAGTCTAATACCACATATAATTGTATCGATTTATATACAATTCAATAAATCAATAAAAACTCAAGTTCAGTGATATACAATCAAATTTACCCTCCTTTTAAGGTTCCTTAAAAACCAAATAACTAAAACATACCCATCGAAAGAGTTATTTATTCATTAAGAAAAAAATGCAAAAAATAAATATCTTTTTTATTAAACAATATTCATAAAGACATTAAAGATGGGAAGATGGAATTGGATATGGCAAAGTTGGGTATCGGTTTTGATGAAGGCAAGCCATGGGTTCTGGTTTTAGATAGATGTTGGAGGAACACTTAAAAATTTCAAACTTTTTAGATTACAAAAGGTATCAAATTTGTTTGCTACACTTGAAAATTTGCTACAACTCTCTGTTTTTCCTCCATTCATCCATATCTTCAAAACCCAAATTAAGTTTCCATCTTTCTGGTATTTATGAGTCAATACTGTATTGTAAAATGTCACACACACCCCTCAGATTGCCACACAGAATACATATTCTTAAGCAGCAAGCTTTGTGAAAACCACAATGAACTTGAGTGTGATGATACCATCTCAGGGGGCCAAACGAACAATTTTCCAAACTCGTTTTCCATCTATCTCTTGAGGGGAGTATTCCAACCTGCCAAAATACCACACATTATTATCAACACCAACTTTCATTTGAAATTTAATCAACAATTGCCTGAAGTGAAAGGTAGATCTAGTATAAAATTCACATTTTTAGCACAAATATAGACTTCTGTTACTCCTTGTCACATTTTTTAGAGATGAGGGTGTTGTATGCCATGGTACTCGGATTATATGTGTCGGGTATATTCATTTTTTTTCAAGGTTTTCCACATATTTGAAGGGGAGGGCTTAGAGGATCGTATTCCCATATCCATATCCGGATACGGAAAGATAGGGGTGTTGGATATGGGTACTTAAAGAAAAATGGAGCCAGAACAACATAAGTTGTGTTCGGATGGGAACTGGGGGTGGTCCGGGAAGAGCTTTGAGTGATAAAGTTCTCTTTCTATGCACTATAGCAAAAGACAATGGAAGTAAACAACCTGTCATGCAATCGGGACATCTGTCCTTGCCAAAACTCGAAACGGTTTGGTTGAAGTCTGTATCCTCCCCAGTGTTTAGGCTTAGGAATCATAACCCTGCATAAAGAAAAATCATAAGGGATCTTTCGTTCTCCGTTTCCACCCAATGAAATCTTTTCCATATCAGTGGTCATTTGAGATGATGAACATATTGGATCGAGACTCTAGATCATGATTGAAGATAGAAGTAAACAGATCAGGCACTTCACTGGGAAAGAGATTCACAGAAATCAAGCCAATAAAACCACACGTAGCACAACTGTTTATAGAAGAATTTGGCACAAAATAAAATTATTATGGTCAAACCTTGAAAACCCAAAAACTTACTCCTTGGAGTATTTTTCTTCTAGTTCTTTGTATTGCTGGTGTAGTACATGGCGTCCAGGAACTACAGTACTCTGAAACAAGAAATCAGGAACTTAATTTCTTATTAAACTGATCATTTTTTATTTCTAATTGATATTAATGGCAATAAAAGGCTATGGACATATGATCCACGTTTCCAAACATCTTAGAGAATGTTAAGTCACAGACCTGCTTGCTTACTATTGCTCCGATTTGACTTCCTCGAGGACGACTGTGAAAATATTGCTCTGATTCCTCATCAGAAACTTTCTGAACAGATCCTTCCACTCTTACCTGAAATCAGAGTTCATTATAGCCCATGAATCTTCATCATGGAAACATATCAACATGATACAAGTTTTTACTACTTAATCAGAATTTGTTCCGCATTGCAGCAAACTTCAATACTATATCAGAAATTGAGAGTTCAATGAATCAAGTTACAAGTCTAAAGGTCAAAAACAATTTTCTCATGACACCGAAACATTTCAATGCATTAAAGTAGCTGTTAGTTGTGTCTTTGGGTTGGCATGCATGATCAGAATTCAGAAGTAGCAACCACCATGCAATAGCAGGATCTCGTACTGTTCAACAATTTTTCAATCCCTTGGGAAGGCACCTTTGCGCGAGTAGAAAACAACTATCATCTAGCTCACCATTCACTGACTTCTCTCTCCCTCTCTTTCTCAAAACACACAAAGAAAAAGTCTTGTGCATAAGTACTAAACCGTTTTACCTAAACTCACCATCCACCATATTATTTTGATGAATGATGATTACTGTCCACTCTACAACACTGAACAAAAGTCTAAAGAATCAATACCCAGAATTCACAGGTAATTACTACTTCAGTTCAACTTTACACTTGTTAGTTGTCCCTATACTACTTGGACTCGGAGTGAGAGTTGCATATGCATGCACATGTATCTGACGCTCTTTTTTTGTAAGTTTTCCATATATCTGGTGTCCTTCAAGGGTCATTTCTCCATACTGATATCCAACCATGTAGTGGAATGAGTACTTAGAGAAAAATGAAGAGATAGCAATGGAATTGTCCTGCTTCTTGAAACAAAAAATCAACGGTAAACAGAAGCCGGTTGCAAATGGGGATAAAACATCCATATTCACCACAAGAAACTTCAGTATTGAAAATAAATAGAATATGCATATAAAATAGTTCAATGGTTCGCATGAACCATTCTGAATCCTAATGAGAATTATGTTAAAAGAAATATTTAAAATTGTTCAATATTCATTCAGGAAGTTTCCCATAAAACAAAACAAGGGTAGAAAAAGAAACGACAAAGAAACTGGCATCAGAATGATAAATCAACAATTTCAGTTTTAGCATGCAGTGATACAAATGTTAGTTATATGATCGAATATGAACCATGCTTTTGCAAAGAATCATCTTTACGAGAAATTTTTAATAAATATCATTATAACATCAACATTTTCGTAATGGAAAAGCTCAAGCCAGAATCTGAAGTACTACCTGTCGGTTAAGCCCATCCCAGTAGAAAAGAAGTGCTGCGTGAGGATTTTCTGATAATTCACGCGCCTTCCGACTTTCATAATTGGTGTACCTGCTTAAAGTAAAAAAAAAGGTAAGAAATATCACCCAACAATCTGTAACAAGATTTTTACATGACAATGACGAAGGAATACTAACCAGACAAAACCACCCTTGTCCACTCCTTTTAGCAATACCATTCTCGATGAGCTGCAGCAGAAGGTAAGATGGTAAAAAAAGATGAGAAACAGTCGGCCAATTAACATTAAAATGTAAGTACCAAATAATGCTATTAGTGTGTAAATAATTACATTATTTCAAGATGAAACTAGACAAGGCCGTCATTGGTTTAAACCAAATGAAGAATGGCAGAATCCGATGAAGATGACTAACAGTCTAGCACTCGTAAAATTACATTAACTACAGGCATACACAAAATTTTAACAAAATCTAGATGGAAGAAGCAAAAAACATTCACAACCTAAAGGATTTTCATTTCCAGTTTCATAAGAAATACAATTTTACTAAACTTAAGGAAACTCTGGGATATAAGATTAACCAAGCTCATATTTTGTAAAAACAAATTCTTTCACTTGCTTTCAACATATTTTCATAATGTTAAGCATAAATGTTTTCTACTCAACATATGTTTTCTTACAGCATAGAGTCGAGACTATTCATTATAAGTAATTCAATCAGTTAAGCTAGTGATTCTTCATTACTGAAGTTACTTCAATGAATATAGTGCCAATTAGTAATACTAAACCTTACTTTAGTCTATATATTCATAAGTACAAAAATTACTATCTTGGTCCATTTTTTCCACTATTTGGGCAGTTTAATATGTGATACTTACACCAGAGACACTTCTTGAAATTCACATTAATATTTAAAACTCTGGTTTGGCTAATAGCAATAAAAATTCTAAGGAATATTCTAATAAATACCTCAAATAATAAGCATGAATATCATATTTAGTAGAAGAAAAAGCAAAATTCTTCAAAATGTTTAGGCACTTCTTAGTCAGTTCCCAGATTTTCTCAAGGATCCCATTGGGAGCAAGTGCCCACATTTCTCCTATTGTGGATCCATGCCTGAAGCGGAAACGAGTGCCTCCATTAGATAACAACAAGTCTAAAAAAAGTGCTTATTTCTTGATAATATTTAACCTTACAATAGCAGCAAGAATCCAAATTGTCATATTTTATACCTTCAAGGAGTTTAGTGAAAAGAAAAACAAAACGTGCACTAGTAAAGCAGAATGATTGCAGAAGAACCAGAAGCTTACAGTTTTCCATCTTTTCCAGCTGTCGACAATGCCATAGCATTTGGTTCCTTTAGGCCTGCAGCCACCGCGTCATCAAACCATTTGCGAAACTGTAAGACAAATTTACATTTTGAAAGAAATAAATGCTATAAATTATTGTGAGAAAATACGAATGAAAACAAAAGGTTTTTCAAATAAACTAAATGAGTAAATAGCATGTTTGTCTTGAATCCGTACCTGATCCAAGGGATTAGCCTCCACATGCTCCTCAAGGAACTCTGGAGATATATAATTCTCTCGGAGTGCTGCTATGTCAATTTGTGGAGGCTTTCCTATGCGAACACACATAGATGTTCCAGGATATTGGGGAAGGCAAAGCTTATACTTTTCTGCAATAGTTGGTGGGACAAATCTACCACCCAGAAAGTGATGAGGTCCGGAAAATTTCTTTGCACATAGTTTTGGAGCAGTCAAAGAAACCTTTGAAATTAGAAAATTGCATTATTTTGATATTTGATATAAAGGGGTGCCTATGTGTGAGTTTAAACAACAAGAAGTTTTTGAAGAATCAAAGGCAGAAAAAAAGACATACCAACATGTCAGGTTTAATTCCTTCACCACCAACGTCACCCTCTTCAACATGCCATCCGGATGGAATATCTACAGACACAATAACAGGGGATTTTTGTTGCACTCGTTGATAACTATGTAAATTAACCAGCTTCTGGATCAGTTCGTCGAAAGGTGGCCTTGGTGCTCCTGAAAGATTAAAAATGATGAATTTAGAGGATGAAATAAGTAGTTACTGAAAATCTAACAAGAATTATGAAAAGATATACACACATATAAGATAAACAAAATGAGTGAACTACAAGTCTAAAACTAACCGAAAGAAATGTGATATAAAGACACGATCTGATAGCACCACTAAATAAGCGATACTGACAGGAGCACAGATTGTATAGACTTGTTCATTAAAGAAAATTGAGATATGTACAAATTATTTTGCATTAAAGAACAATACAAAATTTCTGGTAGTGGTAATAAGAAATAAGATCTTACACTATAATACAAAATAAATGGGGATGAATAGGAGAATCAAAGTAGCACGAGATCAAAATATTGTCGTGGCGTAACAAAGAACATATGTAAACATGAAGTTGAAAAAATATATATATAAGAATAAAATAGCACAATTATCAAGTATTTACCATGAAAAGAAAAGCCGAACATAGCATCTACAAGAATGTCAAAGTCCTTTGACAAGTCCACAGGCAGCTCATCGACCGACAGGAAAGGGATTGGCAGAGATTCCAGCTACAGAACCAGAAGATCGAAGAACAACTCAAATAAACCATATTGTTCAAAGTTCAATAACATTAAATTTACAACCAGAAATCTAGTACCATACCTGAGTGACAAGACCAGAATAAAGGGGTTTCTGAGTTCGCTTAGGATAACAAACAAACGGTTTATACCCAAAGTGATAAAAATGACGGGCAGCAACCAGACCATCACCTCCATTGTTTCCCGGACCGCAAATAGCAAGAACACGATTATATTCACTTGGTTTATAAACCTGCAACAAGAAAAAGCTCCTTTTGAAATTGCACACTGGGAAAAAAGGTATAAACTTACACAACCTCGAGAATTCTCAACTGAACAAAAATATTTGTGTTTACAGCCTAGGAGAAACCAATTCACTGTCATGTCAGACACAAGTTAAGCAAAAATCTTAAACAAAAAATAGGAATTTGGCAACAAGAAAATATCCTTTTTGCAGTTCCACACTGAAAAAAGGGGTATAATCTTATACAATTCCATCATAATTGTCAACTGGACAATAAATATTCGAGTATTTGACATCCTAGGAGAAATCAATTCAATGCCAGGTCAGAAACATGCTCAGCAAACTCAGATAAACTCAAAAAATATGGATTGTTGTATGAATTCAATTAGCATATAGAAACCGAGAAAAATCAAAAAACGAAATGAAAATAATGATAATAGACATTACCTCAGCAATCGATGTGGCAACGCTTAAACCAGCCAATTCCTGGAAAAATCACATAAACTGTAACCATTCAAGCTTTCAAACAAAAACCCAAAAGAAATAAATAGATAACGACGCAACGTAAATTTAAGAAACAAAAACGCTTAACTAACCATAAGCTGATCGACACTAAATCCAAGAGGACCCATGAGAGTCTCATCAACCTCAGTAGCTTCTCGTTGCGCGAGGTACGAAATAGAACCCAGATTTTGAACCGAAGAAGCCATTGATCCCACTTCACCGGACTTCGAACAAAACACTCGGATTGCTGAGATCGAAATGGGAGCCAGAAAACTCTGTAAATCAAAACAAACTTAGCTTTAAACTAGATGAACTGAGGGGAAGAAGGAGAATTAAAGATATGGAGAGAATGACAAGGTTTAACTGAAGAGAATCGACTGAGAGGAGTGGATGGTTTGGAATGAGAGCTCTTATAATATGCTAGAGAGACCGGTGCTTGGCCGAGAAGCGAGCATATCAACTTTCTGCTATTGCCCAACACTCTCCTCATTGTTATTTTTTTCTTCTCTTATCTTTTAACACTTGCTTTTTATTTAGGAGTTAGAATAATAATAATAATAATTCAATATTATTTTAAGATTTATTTTTTGATATCTTAATAAAAAAATATGAGAAATTATATTAATGTGAATGTGTTTATCACTATGTAATTCCATGAAATAATTACACGTGAGAATCCAAATATTTTTTCATGTCTAATAGTATAAATTATAAACTTATATTATTTAAAATTTTAAAGTTATATAATTTTATCACTATAATTTCATGTCTTAAGAATTAAAAAGTGTAATTAATTTAATTTACTCGTAAGCTATAATGATCGGTCATACGTATATATATTTATATAATTTTTATGATTAGTTTGGGGTAATTAGAATGTATTATCTTTTTAGAATTTTTTCTATTAATTAACAATGAATATAGACTCCTTCTACATTTGTCGCTACTCAAACTCAAAACCTCTAAAAAATATCTTTATTTTCTTTAATTACTAAAATAATTTGATAGATAAGTATGTCAAGTTACTCTTAAACCACAATAAGCGTACATGTTATTTTTAATCATAAAAATCTTTTGATAGATATCTATACAATTATATGTAAGTATATTTAAATTTAATTATCCGCCATCAAATTATTGTGACATTAAAAATTTTCTTTTACTTGGATATGGATACATAGATCAAACTATTTTTAATTTCAATTGATATGATTTTATTTAATTCATTAATGATTATTAAATTTAAATAAAATTTAAATGACTTGTTTAAATAATAAAAATATAAAATTCAATCTAATTTAAATTTAGACAAAAAATTAAAATATTTCTAAAATTATCATCAGGTCATATTCATAAACAGTTTCCATTAGATTTATCTCTGTATCTTTTTTTGGGGGAAAGGGTGAATTTTACGCTTATTAAACCCATAAATAACCATGTGTCGTTTAAGTTGTTTCTGATTATAGGTTCTATCCTATTGATTTAAATACTGAAATACCCTCACTCAAAGGTACAAACTGGGATGCCCTCTAAAATCTAAATCTTAACATCTTTGATAATATATAAAACTCATAGCGAAATTGAAGAAAAAAAAAGCTAATTTTAATCTAATAATTTTTTATAATCATCAATATTTAATTTACTTTTAAATTAATTATTAATATCTAATCTATTGATTAATTAATTCAAATTAAATTTAATTGAAGTCCATTATGAGACGATCCTCCTAATTCAACTCGCTCAATTTACAATCATCAGAATTCGAATATTTAACTTTTTTTTAAGTCTATAATATTACATTTCAATAGATCTAATTATTAATATATTTAATTTATTAATAAACTAATTAAAATAAAATAGTACAGAAATTTATTAGATAGGATGATAGATTACGTTATTGCCTATTTGTAAAGGGTAGTTCAGGTGTGCAGTGCCTAAAAAACGGTTAATATACGATGTGATCGGTTAAATAAGTGATCGGTTAAAATTTAGACCGGTTATATTATATTATTTAATCGGAAATATTATTAAGTACAATAACATATTAGGGAACGCTTATATAATGTAATAGATATCGCTTATATAATAAAATAGGTATTTAACCGGAAATATTATCAAGTACAATAACATATTAGGTAGCGTTTATATAATGTAATAGGTAACGCTTATATTGACCTATTTTATAAGTAAACCGATATATTTATACCGGTAACATTGCAAATTTACCTATTACATTATAATTATCGGTCTCGATATTTTTTAGATCGATACTTTTTATAAATGTATTGACACTATATGCGTTTACCTTTTGTCATTTATAGATTGATTTTGTCATATTTTTACATGTTATATTTTATGGATCGATATATTTTTATAAAGTATCGACACTTTATTGACGCTATAACTTCTTCTCTTTTAAATTCCAAAAGTGTCGATACGTATAATAAATTATCGACACTTTCAACATAACCGGTAGCGCTTTACCTGTTTTTTCATTTCGAGACCGGTTTTGTCATATTTTTACTTGTTATATTATTATGGATCGATATATTTTTATAAAGTATCGACACTTTATTGGCGCTATAACTTCTTCTCTTTTAAAAAATGTAACATTTACCTGATATGTTGAAAGTGTCCATACTTTTTATAAAAAGGATCGATACTTTTTTTAAAGTTATGTAATTTATGTTTTAATCCTTTTTTAACAGTGTTTCATGTTTTCCACCTACAATATTAATTTAATAATTTCATTTAAACAAAAAAATTATTTGATTATTTTGATATTTTATAAAATATTATTTAGAATTTAAATTTAACAATATTAACCAAAGATAATAATACATATGTAATATATATGTTTATTGTTTTTAATTTAATAATAATATATACCGTAACATAAAAAATAAATCATTAGATACGTATAATTACTAAATTGATATCTTAAAACTCACTCAAAAGATAACCTTAAATTAATGTTTTCCACAGTGAAATAAGTATGTACACTTTTATAAAAAGGATAGATACTTTACAATATAAGCGCTACCTATTACATTATATAAGCGCTACCTATTACATCATATTTTTATCTATTATATTGTACAGTATCGATCCTTTTTATATATACTTTCAACATATCAGGTAACATTATGATAAAAAGGTAAAATTTACCTGATATGTTGAAAGTGTCCATATTTTTTATAAAAAGGATCTATACTTTTTTTAAAGGTATGTAATTTATGTTTCAATTTTTTTAATAGTGTTTCATGTTTTCCACCTACAATATTAATTTAATAATTTCATTTACATAAAAAAATATTTGATTGTTTTGATATTTTATAAAATATTATTTAGAATTTAAATTTAACAATATTAACAAAATATAATAATAAATATGTAATATATATGTTTATTGTTTTTAATTTAATAATAATATATATCGTAACATAAAAAATAAATCATTAGACGCGTATAATTACTAAATTGATATATCTTAAAACTCACTCAAAAGATAACCTTAAATTAATATTTTCCACAGTGAAATAAGTATGGACACTTTTATAAAAATGATAGATACTTTACAATATAAGCGCTACCTATTACATCATATTTTTACCTATTATATTGTAAAGTATCGATCATTTTTATAAAAAGGATCAATACTTTCAACATATAAGGTAACATTATGAAAAAATGGTAAAATTTACCTGATATGTTAATTTACCTATTACATTATAATTATTGGTTTTGATGTTTTTTTGGTCGATACTTGTAGAAAATGTATTGACACATATTTAGGAAGTTATTGTACATACCTAAATATGTACTACGAATTTAATGTTGTACCCACCCTTTAACTACCACTACCAAGACCACATCCTATTAAAGCAGCACGACTGAAACATGTTCAAAATGAACCTTTGCTTACATCTCCATCAACTCCGGGACCACTGAACTTGCACAACAAAATTTTTGCCATAGATCATACTGATGTAGACAATGTTAAGCCAACCGAGGAATGCCATGAAGTACATAATGTTGATGAATCTGACAGATTGGTTGGTCAGCACTTCTGTTCACGTGATCAAGCTTGGTACTTTTACAATGGATTCGTACAGGAACATGGGTTTAGTGCACGTAAGAGAACAATACTGCTTGACGTGGAAGGGAATGTGAAGACACAAGAATTTTGTTGTTCTAAAGAAGGGTTTCGAGTATCAAAAGTCAATATTGTTGATCGTCAACGTGCTCATACGCCAGTCACAAGAACAGGATGTAAGACTAGAGTCTTAGTTACAGCAACAAATACAAACGATCAGTGGGTTATAAGTAAGTCTGATCAGAAACATAATCATGCATTGTGCACACCTACTATGACACCATTTATGCGTTCTAATAGAGCTGTAAGTAAGGCTGATATCGATGAGGCAACAACATTGAAAGAGGTCGGTGTTGGCACGTCACAAGTAATGAACTATTTAACGCAGCAGGCAGGGGGTTATCATAATGTTGGATTTACACATAAAGACCTCTACAATGCACTTCAAAGAGGTAAAAGAAAAGGAAATCGTCGATGGGGATGTGAATGTGCTTATTGCCTACTTTGATTATAAGAAACATGATGATCTCGGGTTTTTTATGACATACTCGGTAGACGAATCGGGGGCATTGTATAATCTTATTTGGTCAGATTCTACATCAAGATCGGATTACACATGCTTCGGTGATGTAATTGCATTCGACACAACGTACAAAGATAATTTGTATGGTCGACCAATTATGCCTATTGTTGGCGTCAATCATCACCATAACACAATTGTGTTTGCCACTATCATAATCGCTGACGAGACGTCTCAATCTTTCGAGTGGGCGCAACAGAATTTTTTAGAAGCCATGATGAATAAATCACCTATTTCAGTTGTCACTGATGAGGATAGGGCAATACAGAGGGCTATCAAATCTGTTATCCCTTATACTAAGCACAAATTATGTAATTGGCATATTTCTCGCAATGCACAAGCTAACATTGGTGACCCAAAGTTTACAGCAGCATTATCAAAATGCATGGCTTCCTGGTGGACAACCGAGGAATTTGATATTCAATGGCGTTCGGTTGTTTCAGAATTCAACGTCCAAAAGCATCCATGGGTGATTGAGAAGGGAAATACACGACACTTATGGGCACAAGCATATCTATCCGGTCATTTCTTTGCCAATATTCGCTCAACACAAAGGTGCGAGTCTATGAATGCTTTACTAGCGATTGCACTGAAACACAAGAAGACATATTTAGATGTTGTTCGTGCAATTGAAGATGGAATTAGTAGAATGCGTATGAACGAGTTGAAAGCGGATTACTTAAGTTCCCATACGAAGCCCTTCCAGATCACAAAACTGGTCGACCTTGAAAGCCATGCCGCTGCGATTTTTACCCGCGAATCTTTTCGTGCGTTCTAATATGAACTTATACGGGAGACATTGTACCGGATTGAGACAGAGATTAAGTCCTTATTAGATG